CTTAAGATAGTACAGTGTGAAATACCATGAATGAGCAATGGATGATAAAAGGAGCAAGTCGGTTGTGGTGTGCCGAAACCGACGATGAGGTAGGCCTGAGAAAGAAGAGGGCCCACCCAGGAAAAGAAATAGAAAGGAAAATAAATGTTAAAAGTGGTGTGGTGGGAGGGTCATTCAACGCTGACCTCAAACGGTAAGGAGCCAGGCAAGGGGAGTGCCTTAAGTAGGCTAGGGGTGGAAAACCAGCACCTCCCACAAATGCAGGCAAATTGCCTTAATACTTGTGTTAGGTGCTTAAGATAGTACAGTGTGAAATACCATGAATAAGCGTAGGATGATAAAAGGAGCAAGTCGGTTGTGGTGTGCCGAAACCGACGATGAGGTAGGCCTGAGAAAGAAGAGGGCAAAAATTAAGTAATCCAATTTATTAACAGACAACCAATACATATACATTTATCAACCAGACATGTTTATGAAAGCATCTCTTAACTCTTGTACTGGGTTCGGTATGTACCGTGAGTAAGCAGATGACTTCCAGCGCCCCAGTGTTTTGATAACATGAGTTGGGACGTTGAAACTGGAGGCTGTGGACGCGGCTCCTATACGAAACTAGTGTCCTGAGTAATTGTTTGCGTTGAGGCCCAGTTGTGTGAGCAAGGACCTGACGTAGGTCATGAAGGTTGTAGTGGTGAGTACTGCACCTTGTAGTTGTAATAACGGTTGCGAGGGCAGTAAGTGATGGTGCTGTATGTAGGCATCAAGAACTTTTACGGGACACCATCTGTTGTGCGTGGGGTAGTACGGAATGTTTACAGGTATGTGCTGGCTGGTTTTGGAGTGAGGTAAAGACAGGATGTAATGATCCATATGTTTTGTCAAGTGGGAATAGAGGAGGAATGGAGTGGTTTGGGTCGTGGAGGTCGTAGTGAATTCTCTGGGTCGTAGAAATCCATAGAAAGCGATGTATATTGCTGTTTTGATGATAGAATTCGTATTAGTGTCAAATGGTTTCAGGTCGAGTAGGTTAGATAAAGCTTTGAAGATATGGTTATCTATGGGTAGCCTCTGGGCCAAATGTGTGGGTTCTGATTTTTGAATACCTCTGAGTATGGTCTTAATTTGGTGAGAGGCCATGAAACTGTTGTTATTTGGGTGTAAGATGAGCATGTGGTGTTGAATGCCAGTGAGATAGAGTTTGATGGTGTTATATGACAATTTGAGTTTAAGGTGGCAAAAGGAAGCAAACCCCAAAAAAGATGTCATAACAAACGGTTGTATGATGTTATGTTCCAGAAGGAATCGTTTGAATAGTGTGAAAGCCCTGTTGTATGTTTTGTTTGTATTGTGTGAAAGTGCCAACTGAGACAATGTCCTGCTATGCTGCATGATGACGTCTAGTCCAGTATGAGTTGTTGAAATGTTGGAGTGATGGTGGCTGTGGGTGCTGCTGACGGGAGTGCTTGATGAAACTCCTGAAATTTAAAGCGAGACAAACTGTCAGCAGCTGTGTTGTATACACCTGGCACATGAAAACAACATAGGAAGAAATTATGACAAGCTGCCAACCAAGTGAGTTTCCTCAGAAATCTCATAATCGTAAGAGATTTGGAACGACCTTTGTTGATGATGTGACAGGTCGCCTGGTTGTCTGAGTAACAACGTACTGGTGTATTAGCCCATAAATGACCCCACGCTACGGCAGCCGCCACTATGGGGTAGATCTCAAAAAGAGCTGAGGTAGTGGAAAAACCTTCCAAATCCAGAACTGCTGAAGGCCAGCTGCCCCAAAGCCATTCGTTCCCAAAAATTGCTGCAAAACCAGTGGTAGATGCCGCATCTGACCAAATGGTAGGAGATGATTCAGTCAATTGAGGGAGGAACATACTTTTACCATTCCAAGTGGTTAAAAACCTCTTCCACATGTTTAGATCTGCCGTAGCTTGGGCATCTAAGGACAACCTGTGCGTGTCATGTAGAAAAAGTGGGAAAAGATGCAATAGTCGTGAAATAAAGGAGCGGCCTTGAGGTATGATGCGCATTGCAAAATTTAGTGACCCCAGCAGGGACTGTAGTTCTTTGCGATTGCAAGTGCCGAGCTGTAGGTAGTTGTTAATGTAAGTGAGAATATTGTCTATCTTTTCGTAAGGTAGGCTTGCTTGCATTGTGGCAGAGTCTAACTGGATACCCAGAAAAGTGATAACCGTGTCTGGCCCTTCTGTTTTCTTTGGGGAGATGGGTACACCTAGTTGCTCAAACAGCTTAGTGGTAGCTTTGAGGCTAGTGGGAGGTGCAGTATTCTCCTCGACCAGTAGGAAATCGTCCAAATAATGTAATACTGTAGGGCATCCGGCTATGTTCAATAGTAACCAGCATAGTGCTTCGGCAAATGTGTCGAAAATAGCTGGGCTACTTTTGGACCCAAAAGTTAACCGGGAGAAAAAATAGTAGTTCTCGGACCACTTGATGCCATGCAGGTGCCACAGTGTGGGGTGGATAGGGAGTAATTTGAAGGCGTTAGTAATGTCGGTCTTACTGAGCCAGGCTCCCACCCCTGCTTGTATGATAGCTGTAATGGCGTGATCTATGGTGGTGTATTGCAGAGAGAATTCCTCAGAGGGTATGAGGGAATTAAGACTGGGGTTGGCCGATGAGTGGGGAGCCGATAAGTCAATGATGAGTCTCTGTTTTTGGGAAGATTTCCCTGTGACAATACCAATAGGGTTGGTGCGCCATGCTGTGAATGGGGGAGTTCTAAAAGGCCCCAATACAAAGCCCTCCTCCACTTCTTGGTTTATGAGGGTGTCAACCACTGTGGGGTTGTGTTGGGCGGATTGTAGGTTTGGGCATTCCAGAGTGCCAGCTGGTATGTGTAGGATACCTGTGTGGAAGCCTTCTGTCAAACCAGAAATAAGAAAATCTACCAGGTGTCTAGATGGGTGCTGAGACATCAATGCTGTGAATACTGGCATATTAATGGGCGTAAGGTAAGGCTTGGAATACATTTTATTTGGACACATGGTCTTTGCATGTGCCCTAAAACATTTTGAACAGACATGCAATAGTCTACATCCACTGTAATTGCAAGACCCAACATTGAAATTATTACATATCTGGGACTTGCCCAGAAACTTGATTGGGCGGCCCAATTTGTCTGTGGATAGTTTCCCTGGATCCCCAGAGGAAGTAGTTCCTTGTGTGGAGGCATGTCCGTCTGCCGTGTTTGGACAAAAATTAGTAGTATGGGCTGTGGAGGAGCAGTATGCACAAGCTGGTGTTCTTAGACCTGCAAAGTGTCTGCAGAATAAGACGGTATCAATCCTTCCCCAGTTGGATCGTGTACCGTACTGGGAGAAGGCTCCAGCCACTTTTGCAGAAAAAGACCTATGGTAGTCATAGAATGCTGAACCACCATATTTGTTGCCCAGGTCTACCAGCTTGTGCATATAGAGATCGAACTCCTCTCTTCTGTTGGGATAGACCGCACAGACGACATCCCTGTAAATACCAAATGCTAGAACAAATTCAGGGATAGTCAGTTTTCTGTTTAGGCGGGCATCCCTAGATCTTACAATAACAGAAACATCATCATAAGCATACGTTTTATGTTCCACAATGTCCTGGGAGGCAATCAACAGGGAAGCCAATTTGACGTTTTTACCTTCCAGGATATCCCTTTTGATATGCTCAGGTGTCATGTGGGCCGGGCTAACTTCCTGGTCATCCAGGGGGCTGGCTGGAGCGACTAATGGCAAGGCTGGTGTTTGTACTGCAGCCGCGGTTGGCCCTGCTAGAGTGAGGGCCGTGGTGACCGACTCAAGTTTCTCCAGCCTGGAGTTGACCTTGCCCATGGATGCCATGAGTGAGGATAACATGGCATGTATGTCCCCTGGGTTGGACTGGCTAGATCCTTCCCCGGCTTCCATGTTATTGGTTGATGTGCGTAGCAGTTTGAAAAGTTCTGCCTTCCTTGCTGTAGCGGGGTAGGGGATTTGTCGTCTCCTTAATTCCGTGGTTATGCGCCTGATTGTCCAGGATCTAATTGATGCTGGACTAGCTAGCTCTCCTCCTTGTGTGGGAGTGACAGCTCTAGCCGGGGTGCTAGGCAGGGAGAAATCCTCTACCCCTTCCTGAGACATACTATAAATAAAACAATAATTAGTATATAGAACCACCAAATTGTACTGGCAGGCTAGCTAGGCCGGATGGCGAAAGTATTATGCTTGTTTGGTGACAGGTGAGGCCCTACTAATTGCCAAGCGGCTTGAGAGGCTCTATCTATGCGTTGGCGCGAGGGGTTATTGAGGCCACTTGACGTAGTGGCAGGAGTTTTAGGCCTCTCGGTGACTGTACGACAGAAAACAGGGGAAGGGAGTGACAGGTGAGGCCCTCTCTTTGCAACATGCGAGGCGGCTAGCTAACGTGTGGCCCGATGGGTGTTTGCCTCCGAAACGTTTGAGGCGGGGTGTTGGCCTCGCGGGACCACTAACTGATGGAGACAGCCAAGACGGGGTAAATACCTATTGGGAATCCTGTGACCCTATTGCCAGTACTCTAAACTAGGGGGATGAAATGAAATGTATGGTAGAATACCATATGAGCAGGTGTACGTACCTGGTAGTATGATAAATCACAGGAATAAACCGTGTGGAGCAACTATATAAGCTCGACAGCCTAAAAATGGGTAAAAGAGAGTAGTACGATGAGTGTGGGGTATAACAAGAACCAGACTTATAGTCTGTAGCAGCAATGTATAAAATTATGTTGATACCATGGGAATAGCTACGAGTGGCTCAGAAATGTTTGCATGCTTGAAAAAGACATCTGAGGGAGGCCGTGGCCTATGTACAAACAATCTATGTGTTACGTGATAATGGTGTGTAAAGGAAAACATGAAACGTAGGTTATATACATATGTATTATGACTGTGTAGGGGACGTATGATTGGTTGGATCAGGACGTGTGATCCAACCCGAGTATGCATGCAAAAGGACTTATGCCTTGTGTGTCATCGTCATGACAGAGAAATGAGGCCTGTAATGTAGGCTGAGTAAATTGAAATGAAATGGATAGTTATAAAACTCCTGGCGTGGGAGTTCAATGACCTGTACCGAAATGTAACTGGTTTTATAGAAAGGGACATGGATGAGGTCATGGCCTAATTAACACATCGTTGTGTATGATATGTAGCAGAAAGACCAAAGGCAGGGATACCCCAAAATGATTTAGCATGATGTAAAGTGATGTAGATCTATATGATATGTATGTATAGCAAAGACGTATCAACCCGAGAATTATTGCTTAAATGAACCTATCCTTGTATGTATTGTATTAATAACCCAGAAATGAGGCTTGTGACATGGCTGAGTCCATACGTATAAATGGATAAGTAATGCAGACCCCTGAAAGCGTGGGAGTCAAATGGTATACACAGAAGTGGACTTGGTTTGTGGACGTAATACAATACTGACAATTGTTAAAAGTAATCAACAATCTATTTAAGCAAGCAATACTTAACCGAATGTTATATACACATGAAATGGTGAATATAATTCATGAAAGGATTAAAACCGTGAACACACAGAACAGCCGAAAGCAAATGTGAGGGGAACACAGAAGTTAGAATAGTTTAGCCGTATGATTTATGCGAACCAAAGTGTGTGTGAGCGTATGTAACATTTGCCGAACGGCAAAACAACCGAATGAACATTCGTTTAAATAACATGAATAGGATATGCGAAATGACTATTGAACTATTGAAAACATGTTCAGCCGAATGACCGTACGAAATGAAAAGCCCGCGAATGGCTTGAAAACATTCGTGTCATAACCAGGGAAAAGCCGTAAAGCGAGGACCCGTGCTGTACCGTACGCCGTGGGAACCAGTCCTGGCGTGACAGGAAGGTCTGACTTACGGTTTAGGAGTCCCTGGGACGCGATCTACGACGGAGAAACGGAGTCAGAAGAAGCTGGTCGGGCGGAAAGGCCTGAACAGGATTCCTGGACACAGCTTAACGTGGTGAAACCTCCTGGATACTGAAACCAAGATGGCGTCTGAGAGAACCCGGAAGTGGATCCTCATTCAACGCTGACCTCGAACGGTAAGGAGCCAGGCAAGGGGAGTGCCTTAAGTAGGCTAGGGGTGGAAAACCAGCACCTCCCACAAATGCAGGCAAATTGCCTTAATACATATGACCATTGGAGTATTCTACATATTTATCCTTGTTTGGGAATCCTTGTATTGGTTAATGCAGCCCTATCACACCCTATACTGCACTATAGCGAGCGCCTATTATCTCCTTTTTCAACAATAAGTCAATTTAACATTAAATTATTAAGCAGCCCATTTACACTAGTCTC